CTCTCCTTTATTGCTTCAGGATCATCATCATGTTACATGTATGGCAGACATCTCTTAAACGGCTCGTCATATTAAAAAAAATAAGAAAAAACCGAGATTTCATTTACATATCACTTTACGCTTTACACCCGTTATTGATCAAGTTATTAATTTTGCTTTCAACATTAAAGGGCAACATTTTATATATGGAAATTAAGGTTGTCTTTATCATAGCTACCGCCTATTTTCGCCTTTTCCACAAACCACGCTTTCACGTTTAATAATTCGTTTTTTTTTTCTTTTGTAATTTGAAAAGAAATCTTACTACAGATAAATATCCTACATAATGATTTTTCAAAATAAGTCATTGTATGGGACAATTTCGAAAAAATGATCCGATCCGAATAATTTTCAATAGCCTTCGCCTTTGGATCAAAATACATCGGTGTACGCAATTTCATCAACATATATCCGAAATAGGAGCCTATTGGTTAAACGCCAGAGTACGGAAGGGATAGACGGACAGACGAACAGAGGGGCCTGAATTCAGATTCGAAAAGCAATTCTGAATCGATCGGCCTGATAAAAGGCGAGTCTATCTCAAGTCCTTTTGGCTGCTGCATACATCCACATGCATTTATCCTACCTATCATGCCACAAGTGGCGTAGCGTATAATAATTGCGATACGGACGAGTTAACGCATGTTAACTATGATTGCTTTTTGCTGCTCAATCGATAGATTGTAAACAAACGCAAATAAATGCAAATAAATATGTAAATGAAAGAAAAAAAAAACTACTACGGATTAACCGAACGAATCAATGAGGTTAAAAAATAATTGAAAGAATTTTTATTTCACTTTTTTAAAGGATACCTCGCTTCATGAATATGCAACAAAATATCTAAAAAAGGGCATAATTTTTTTGTTAATTAAAAGCGCGTCAGTTAGTTTCAAACGAATAAATTTGCATCGAATTTTTTGATCGTTCGAATATTGGCAACAAATTTTTGCTACTTTTTTTTATTTTTACTATTATTTTTTAACTTTTTTTTTTCTATCAAACCTCTAACATGTCTTGAACCATTTTTATAAGGCCCTGGCTCCGGTTACTATTAAAGAGCTTTTAAGAAATTAAGTTAAGCATATATTAATGATGAGTGTTTTTTCTATATTTCACTGCCGAGGGATGAGAGCTGTTTATGTTATCATTTTATCAAAACGTTTGCAATCTCGAGATGAAAGCTTCAGAGACTCCATAGCGTAATTATATTTTTAATGCATGTCCGTTTGCCCGGTTAACTATCCGCCCGTTCGGTTGTCCGTCCGTCTGTCCCTTTATTCATCTACATGTTTGTCCCTCTGTCCGCATGTCTATCTCCTCCAATTAAATGCATCGGTTTCAAATTTGGTGGAAAGATAGGCAGCTCTTGCTTAGAGGTGAAATGGGCCAAGCCCTGCAACCTAAAGCAAGAACACATCTACTCTCTAGGTTTTTTAGGCCATTGCTTATATCATAATATACGCACAATAAAGATTTCCACGTACGTCCTAAATGAATCTGTATAGGGGTAGGGCGCGTTTTACTTAAACGGCAGCCACTTTGCCTTCCTTGCCATTAAATCAAATTTTAAATTAATGTATCTTTGAGATAAACAAAAACTTCAATTTTTTGGATTTAAAATGGCAATAAGAGAGGAAGAGTGGACAATCTTCCTAGTCATCGTCGGTTTATTAGGATTTATTCAACTGCAATTTTATTACTCCCAAGTATCAAAAACCAATTGTGACTATCGTTGTCTATTCTAACTACATTTTCAAAGTTATTACAATGAATTCGGTAAAAAGATTTCATTCCATCGAAAGAAATAAGTGTAGGTCAGTGAGTTTTGCCTGAATGAAAATATCCGGCAGCTTATAAGGTTATTAACCTGATGGGATTATCCGCAAAATACTTATTAAAATTTGTTATCTTATCATTGTTCAGCAGAGTTTCACGCTACGAATATAACCAAAATTTCTTTTTTTTTTCTTTTTCTTTTTCTATTTCTTATCTTTTCCCAAACATTTTGTTTGCACACGACAAACATGCACATAGATACCGTAGCAATGAAATGCTTTAAAAACAAGTCATGAACAGAGATATTTATTTACCTACAGAACACCTACACGTTAGGCTATTTCTCTATATACTCTATGCACTTTAAACATTTCACGAAATGTAGCGAAAAGTTTCACAAACTATTTAATATAAAAAATTTATATTTTGTAATAAAAACTTTGCCTTCCTTGCTTCAAAATGCACTTAATTTATTGTAAAATGCATATACATATCGATCGAGGGGGGTCAAGGTAATTAATTTCATTTAAAAACAAAGCCTAACACAAACCATCTATATGTACATGTGCATGTGTGTGTACGCTTGTTTAGCCACTTGTGTCGTGGTTTTATGTTACAAAAAAATACATATATTTTTTTTTTTTTTTTAGTTAAAATATTTCATTTTGCTGGAGACTTAATGAAATATGAGGCGTTTTATTAGTAAGTGATTTAAAAGCAATTTTTTTATTTTTTATTTTGAAATATTTTATGTTTACTTTCAAATGAGTTGAAAAAAAGTATTAGCAAACCTGCTGGCTTTACGTGCTACACGCCCACTATGGCAGAAGGATAGATTAGTGGTGTGAGTGATTACTCCTCAACTAAGGGCGAAATTATACAAATTGTATTAGAAAATCATTTAATTCTGGCTGTCAGAGTTTCGAGTTATCAAGAATCAGTGGCAATATGGCAGACGAACGAAGACTTCAATGCTAGTCTCACCCTGTCTATTTCTGAGATAATAATAGCGATTGCTGTTGCGCGACGAGGCCGTCAAGTCTTTGTTTGCTTTCCTCGATCTGAGTGTGACGGACCGACTGGGGGCGCAGGGAGCCGCATGGAGCTCTTTTAGTCTTGCTAGAGACTTCTTCTCTTTCTGGTTTGGTGGCGTGGTGGATATTCATCTTCAGGTTTCTTCACATTGCTGATGTTCGAATTCGTAGTGAGCTTTGGCTTACCGTTGCACATGTTAAATGGAATGGATGGAGATACAGTGCGAACATTACATCCATGCGAGTAGTATAGACTGATTCTATTTTCCGCACTGTCATCTGCGGATTTTCCATCTCACTGCGAGTTTTTAAGTCTGATAGGACTTATTAAGTCGAACCAGAGACTTTAATTGCCTCGGCCTTCTTTTATTTTTTTCCTTTTACTTTTGGTGCTAGAAACTGCAAAAGCAATTCTCCAGCTTTTGGGCCGGCGGAAAGAACGGCCCTTTGCGTGACGTTCGCAGTGGCTGCTAATGGTCCAAATCACGAGAAGAGTTTATTTACTTGTTCGGAATTGGTTTTTCCGTCCAACCGAGCGCTTGGCCCAAAGTCTTTAGCAGAGAGGGAAACACGTGCCCATATAAATGTCTTCATTCGATTTTTGGGGACTTGTCACCTCCGGCGCGCTGAGTGTGTCTTTGTCCATTACAGGTGTATTCAGTCTCTTGGAGATTAGCGGCAGGAATCCACGTTAGGGGCATCTGCTCATTTGATGTTTGTCCATGTGTTTATATCTTCAACTTATGTACGACAAGTATCATAATATTCTGATGAAATTTCATGCATTGACATACTTTGGCCAATGGAAAATGGCTTGGACGTAAAGACTATAGCGCTTCGCAAAGCAAATGTGCAAAATTTCAGTCTTCTAAGTTTAATAATTTCCGAATAACGAGCAAAAAACTAAAAATTTTTGTTAAAAAAAATTGAGTTCCATTTAATTTAAGCTCTACTTCGCGCTTTTGTTTTGACCAATTTGGCCCATTTCCAATACTAACCTCCGTGTAAAAACTTCCCACGTTTTTACCAAATTTGAAGTCGATATCTTAATTTTTGCGAGCCGGAGACTGCCAACGACACGCCATACAGGTATACAGACGGACAGACATGATTAATTCAACTCAGAATTTCACGCTGATCAAGAATATATGTACTTTATAGAGTCTCTGAAGCTTCCTTTTAAGTGTTACGTAATTATTGACAAAAAGCAAAATGAGTTTATCCCCATCTAACAGTGATGGGTATAAAAAAAGAAGGACGAATCCTTACATCTTTCACAAAACAGCGGCACAAACAAGTTCATTCAGTCCAGTAATATCATCGGTAAAATAATATCACAAAACTCTGGGATAACTGGAGGGATGGACATGCTTTAATCGATTCAAAAGTTAATGCTGACGACGAATATATATATATAGGGGATTTCTCAAGTTACCTTCTGGGTATTGCAAACATTTTGACAAATCATTCCCACAATAAACGAAGAGATGAAATAATATAGCTTCAGATGTGGCTGGAGAGATATGTCGGCTTTAGCGTTGTAGCTCATAAAACGTTTTGATAAGAATGAAATGTTATTTCAATCGAAATAAACGATTGTTTCCTTATTCTTTCATCATGTGAATGCAGTTCAAGTAGGGAAATAAAATTCAATGGAGAAAGATTTCGAAAGCCAATATTGTTCTACTTAAGAAAGTTCGCCTGAGTAGCCGAAGGCGAGAAATCTCGACTAGCAACTCAATGGTCGTGGGTTCGAATCTTAACTGAGGTAGAGTTTTTAATAAAAGCCAAGAGTTTAAGAGTTTAGTCTTAGACTTTATTTCTATGGCGAAATTAAAAATAATAATAATAATAACAATAATAATAATAATAATAATAAAACTTAAGAAAAATGATTTAAAAATATTAATTTATAGGATTATTATAATTGTTTACGCTTACAAAAAAGGAGTAAGCAAATTACTTCATTGCCCTTGTAACACTTTAAAACCGTTTCAGGGATCCTCATAGAACAATAATGAAATTTAGTGTTCTACGCTTGCAAAAATACCTGCAACTAAAGTGTTCGACATGGGTTGTCTACTCGTTTAAATTTTAAGAAAGCCGGAACTAAGGCACGACGGTATAGAAACAAAGTTCCTTTTATTTTTAATTCATTACTTTGACGGTAGCGTGTATCCAATCCTGAAAATGATAAACATTTGTAAAGAGAGCTAAACATTTTCCACTAACGCAACCCGCAATTTTAACTCCAAGGCCTAGCAATAAGTCATCTGACACCAACGGAGCACCGTAATCCACTATGCAAGCATCGTTTGTGGGAATTTCAGCACAAATTTCAGGCACATCATTAAGGGAACTGACGCCCAATGGGGAATGACATTCATTCGGACTCATAAGGGCAGAGCTGGCTGATATTAACGAAAACGGATCTTTATTATTAGCAGTTTTATCAGTAGGACACCAGCCAAGGGCACTGGCTGCGGAAGCGTAACAGCCAGCGGCATTAACACAAAGTGGAATAGGCTTGATTTGAGTATTATATATGAAGTTATTAGCTAATTGGATAATTGCTATATCGTAAGCCCGATTCTTTGGATTAAATTTTGCGTGTAACTGATACCTTGAAACCTGCATTAAGATACCGCCCTTGTTCCACGAAGAAGATCCAGCACGCACTTTCAATTCAGACGGTGTTACACCAGAAACGACATGAGCCGACGTTATGATAATGTTTCTGTTGTATATCACGCCAGTACCACGAAAACGGTTAGTAACATGCAGTATAGAAACTCGGTAAGGAAATGAACGGCCGTTAGTTATATTACCGCTACTAATACATCCATTTAAATCAAATTGTTCGTTACACGGTCTGGAAGCGCCGCAAACGCTCACCAGAGCTGCGAGTAAGCTAAGCAAGTTATACATTGCGATGATTATTTGTGAATTATAACAGTGTACTGAGATGTTTCCATGATGTTAACGCATTTTATAAGATGACAGAATGAAGCGATTTTCCTGTATCTGGCTTTAAGGGATGTATCTTCTCCCCTCCAAAAGTCTTCTTCGCACATTTTTTTCGTCTATTTTAAGTCTTCTCATAAACATTTTTAGAGTTTTAGATACGTTTTATCTATATCTTAATAATCCGCACGACGTTCGCGTACATTGCAGTGTGACCGATATGCTGAACCGATGATAACATTCTCTCATCTATCTAAGGTGAATGCGCTTCAAGAGAGGAACAAAAAATAAAAAGAAAAAACTAAAAATAATAATTTTATCCATTCGGATTTCCTTCTCTTGCTTGCACAAATCTTCACACAAATGTTGGGATAACAGAGGTGAACTGCACACATATTCAGCAATTTACTTTGATATAGAGAAAAAGAAAAAAAAAACGAGTCCTCACATCTTCCCCAAAACAAACACACAAACAAATTCACTCAGTACAGTAATATCATCATCGGTAAATAATATTTAAAACTCTATGGCAAATACATGAAAATAAAATTTAAACGAAAAGTTAAGTTTTTCTTGTTTGAAATTTCACTTCGTATCCTTCGTATTGCTTGCATAAAAGTAAACGTCATTTGCATGCATAGATTGCTGCCAGATTTTAACTTATAAATTAAACGCATATAACAGAAGCAAAAGTAAGAAGACTATATGCAACTGTGACGTTTACGTACCCATCACCCTAAGCCTAAAAGACAAATAAAAAAAAAAAAGACAATAAATTTCTATATTCTCTAACGTTGGGTGGGCATGGCATGGTTTTTGTTTTTTATTCGTAGAATATACAGATGAATATTGTTATCACGGGTATTGTTAGTAAGGAGCAAAAAACGAGATAGTTGATATGCTCCAAATTTTTGTTGCATTGTAGGTTTGCCTTCTTCTCGATTCGGTCCCTTTCGGTCGATCGGAGTTCAATTTGTGTGTAAGAATTTGAAGCTAACAGCTTAATTTTTGTGGCCAACAGAACATTCAACGCAAGCATTGCACAGCTGGACAGGGACGAGGCAGTCAGACAGACGAGCAATTGGAGGGATAGACATGCTTACATCGATTCAAAAGTTAATGCTGATGAAGATGGGATCTCTGAATTTACCTTCTAGGCGTTGCAAACATTTTAACAAAACATTCCCACCAGTCTGCGAAGAGTTGTAACAAGTAAGAAAGTTAAATTAGGTCGGGACCGAATCGTTTATACCCATCACTGTTATCCTAAAAAAAGACGAAAGAAGTAAAACAATAAAATTTTCATGTTCTACAATATGGAATGGGCGTAGCTAATTTCTTCTATTTTCAAAATAAAAGAAATGTGGGCATTGTAGGCGTGTCCTTTGAAAAGTTTAGATTAATTCCAAATTCGTTTGCACATTTGTAGGCAAAAATCTTCACCTTCGCTAACGGGAGAATGTTTATCACAAAATACTGCAAAGTTGCGTAAACAGGCAGGCGGACGTGTTTAGATGTATTCCAAATTTGAAACTGCCCAAGCATTTGTATATTTTGTGGGGTTCTTGAAGCTTGTTGCTGGACGTTTTAGAGGTATTGAAAATGCAATAAATTTTGATACACTATAAGAGGCGTGGTCAGCTTTTTCCATACTTGTGCACGAATGCCACGGCATCACCCATAGCATATGCATTCAAATTTTTGCACATTTATTTAGTGTAGTGTATGAGTAATGAGCGAAAAACCAATATTTCATTCCTTTTGAAAAGCAGTGATGCTATGGGCGTGTTTTTCGACCAATTTGGCCCATTTTTAATGCCAACCTGCGTACAAGAACTCCCGTTTTTGCTGCCATGAGAATGTTTACAAAGGACAGACGGACACACTTAAATCAATATAGAATTTAATGCTAATCCAAAATGTATATACTTTGTGCGGTCTCTGAAGCTTCCTTCTGGGCGTTACGAACGTTTTGACAACATGAATATACTCCTCATCTTGCGGTGATGGGTGAAATAATATATCTTTGCATAGGATAGAATAATAAAATTATTTTTATATCTATGGCTGGAAGAAATGTCGGCTTTGTCGTAGTAGATCATAAAAATTCTTGATAAGAATGAAATTTCATGTCAATCTAACTAAGCAATTGCCTCCTTATTCTTGCATTATGTGAATACAGTTTATGTAGGAAAATAAAATTCAATGGAGAAAAATTCCATTAGCTAATATTGTTCCACTTAAGAAAAACGATTCAAGAGTACTAATTTATACGATTATTATAATTTTTTACACTTTGAGAGAAAGAGTAAGCAAATTACTTTATTACCCTTGTAAAACTTTAAAACTGTTCCAGGGATCGTCATAGAACAATAATAAAAGTTAGTGTTCTACGTTTGCAAAAATACCTGCAACTAAAGTGTTCGACATGGGTTGTCTACTCGTTTAAACAAAGCTCCTTTTTTAAATTTATTTTACTAATTTATTTATTATTTTTATTTCATATTTTTGGCGGTATTTTCTATCCAATCGTGAAAGTACGCAACATCTGCATAGACACCTGGATATTTTTCTTTAGCGCAACTCTTACCCCAAGATACAATGCCCACCAGTTGGCCGTTTGAGACCAACGGACCACCGGAATCCCCTATGCAAGCATCTTTTCCGGCATCCTGGGCGCAAATCATCGACAACTCAATAGACGAACCGTAGCGATATGTAGCGGAGGCGCATGCATCGCGACCAATAATGTTAACGTCGACTGACTTTAATGGAAACGTATCTCTAATATTAGCTGTTTTATCAGTGATACCCCAGCCCGAGACAATGGCTGCGGCACCATCAACAGGAACTGTATTAGCTAATGGCGTAGGCTTGATTTTAGAGTTAAATGTCAAGTCATTAGCTAATCGGATAAGTGCTATATCGTTAGCCAAGCTCTTTGCATTAAAATTTTCGTGTAACTTAAAACTTGCAACCTGTATTAAGCTACCGCCCTTGTTCCAGCAAGAAGATCCAGCACGCACTTTGAATTCAGACGGCGGTACATCGATAAGGCAATGAGCCGCCGTTATGATAGTGTTTTCGTTGTATATAACGCCACCACAATGATGTTTATTATGAAGCAGTAAAGTAACTTGGTAAGGACGTGAACTGATGTTAATATTATCACCGCCAAAAATACGGCCATTTAAGACAGATAGTACGTTAGACGATCTGGAAACGCCGCAAACGCTCACCAGAGTTGCGAGTAAGCTAAGCAAGTTATACATTACGACAATTGCTGGTGAACTATTGTACTGAGATGTTCGACAAAGCATCACAATATTTTATAGGTCGTTGCGTGTTACATTTTGACAATAATGCAGACGAGCAAATAAGTCTGATAAGATTTGGGCCAAACCGGTTTTCCTTTACGTATTGTAATATAAACGAAATGTTGTCTTCTTGTAATTATTGCCGCATAAGTGAAAGATTAGATAACACCTTTTTTTCTTTTTCAGTTACCAAAATTTCCAAAAATTGTCAAGTTGACCTTCACCTAATGTTAAGAAGGCAAGCACTGCAAACACGCAACGTATGGTAAATGTTTTTATGCCTCCAGTAAGAAACGAACAAACTTCTTTTCACACTCTACATAACTAACTAAATAGTGTGAGAGTCTGACTGATGATCTTTGTAAGGTTATTAGCATAGACAACAAGTTCTTCTCTAATGTCTTATGCTCATCGACTTATGCTCGATAACTTATAGGAACTTAAGAGGTAACAACCTTAAAAAAGAAGTTTTCTTTCGGATGTAAATATTAATATTCGGGACGACTTGTAAGTGCTTATGTAGGAGAAAAAAGTTGTTTTTGAAAAATTTTAAAAGTTGACAACACCACCACAGCCATCGTCGCCAGTTATGTATAATGGGAGCTACGGCAAACAGTATTCTATAAAGAAAGAGATGGGTTTTCTTCCCTTCCTATCATTTTAATAGAAAAACAATTAAACATGTTATGGTTTGACACTTGGCAGAAATATCAAATATTCTTGCATGCAACCAAATCCGTTGAAGCAGATGCTTATAAAGCAATTTAAACTGAGAAAACCTCCGAAACCAAAGACTTGACTTCTTCATAGTTCATATTCTATGGAAAAGGTGTAATGGTGAAAATATCCATATCTAAAGCTATAAAGTAAGCTAAAAAGTTGAAAAATTTCCCGAATTTTATTTATTATTATTATTATTATTTATTTATTTTTTTTTTTTTTATGTCTCTTCATGTAAGAAAAGAGTAGTGGTTATAAAAGATTCGATCATAGCTGACTATAATCTTCTTAGTTGCTTAAATTTAATTTAATTTCATTATAAAAAACAAATACATGAGATGAAAAAACTAAAATAAAAAATTTAACACTTTAATGGTTTCAATGCAAAGTGCAAATAACATCACACGCCTTATTTTACTATTATCGTGATTTCTCAACTTTTATAATTTTATAGTAGAATATATGTGCGTTGATCACTGTTTTTTTTTATTGTGGTTGTTTGTACTTTTACTTATGCATTTTTATTTCGAAAAGAAATTTTTCTTTCTTCAATTTTTATTCTACTTATTGCGTATTACACGAGCTTCGGTGAACACATTTGCACGTTGACTTAATTGATTTTAGTTTTTGCCATAATTGCCTTAATAAATAAAACGAAAATTTTGCATTTTTATCAAAACATTTACATAGAATATACATAAGAAAGCAAAACACCTGACCTCGTTCACATGCATATATAGGAGGCTTGTTACTATCTTTTAAATATCTTTTGTTCTTTCATAAATCAATTGTATTTTATATACTTACGTCATGGCATTATGGATTCTTCTAGAGTGTTATAATAAGAAGATTATTGCGCATTATTTCCTTTAATGAAAAAGCAATTTTTTGTTTCTTGAGACAGCCTAAAAGTAAGCTAATAAATTCCATTTATCATTTAATCGTTAATAAATAATAAAATTTTGTTTTTAGTTAAAAAATCAATTGATTTTCGAATAGTATGCGAAGAAGTAAAGTTTCAGTTTTCATTCAAGGTGTCTGTGTTACGCCAGTATTCTTGCTTATGTCTTGTCAGAGCATTTTTCGGCCCTACAGCACTTGCAGTGCAAGGGTATATTAAGTTTGTGCGGATGTAGGTGACACTCGAAAGCGTACACCTGTGTGATTCAGATTCACTTCTGCGTATCTGTGTATCTCCTTATCCATATATTCTTATCCTTATATTCTTGTATCCTTCTATCCGATTATCTACCTATCCGCTTATCCGCGTATCCGTCTATTCGACTATCTGTGCATCCTTCTATTCGTCTATCCGTATACCCGCCTACCAGCGTATCCGTCTATTCGACTATCTATGCATCCTTCTATTCGTCTATCCGTATACCCGCCTATCCGTCTATGCGTCTATCTGTGTGTGTACCCGTGCATCCGTCTATTCGCCTATCCGTGTATCCGCTTATCCATCGATCTGTGGCAAATGGTGATTTTTCATGATGGGCCGTGGACAACTGTACCTTTTACATGTTTTGAAAATAAAAATCATAGAACACCTGGGCGCTAATAAAAGCAGAAGGAAATCTCAATAGCTATCAAAAAAATCTTGATAACGAAGACTAAAGCAATGTACTTGGCTTCGGTTAGGTCTGGGCTGTAGCTGACTATAATGCTCTAATAAATAACATCCAAAATTACAAGAGGATACAAGAAATATTCATTCGCTGTACTTCATAGCATACATCGTTTGCGATATAAGATATACTAGGTTTCTGCAGATGTATATAATATTCAGAAGGAGGTGAAAGATAGACCCACCTTTTCTTACACCGCTTACAGCGATGCTTAATAACAATGAGAGTAGGGGAACACTTACATCAACTCTTCGTCAAAAGCGTAAATTGAATTAGATAGAAGCAGTTGATCACTTAGCGATAGGCTTACTTAAGCCATAAATCTTTGATGATTCGCGGAGAACTTTTGTTTCGATTGCCATTAGGGCAGGAAAACGGTAAAGCAACCGGCTGCCAGACTCGATCTACTCCAACTCAGACTACAAAACAAATGTCGCCAGAAAGGAATGTAAAGACAGACTGCCGGTGTTTTAGGTATTACTTGCGCAAGTTACAATTTGATTTCTTATCGACGACTCAAAAATTTGCAATCCTAAGGATTTTCCTTTATTTTGCGGAATTATTTGATGAACATAATTTTTCTTTTTCTTCAGCATTCATTGTGAAGAATTAAAATTTTCCGCTTGACTTCGAACTAATTTAATGTCATTGTTGGATTGTTATACATGTGATGGACGTTGAAATTCTTCAATAAATATATCATACTTGAAATGCATGTATGTATGCGTGTGTATCTGCTGATGGCGTGTGGTCATAAAAAGAGTTCTATAAAATAGTAAACCAACATAAATGATTTTAATAATTGTCAATACCAATCTCGGTTTCGTGCAATAAAAATTGTTTGCATATGAACTGCCATAAGCCCATACGCACACACACCCACGCACACCCACACAAGCTATAATGTAATGATCATTACTTCGGCTATTCAGACTCGGAACGCTGACAAACTGAAATGAAGATGAAGTAGCTTATCGAGTACATATACCTACATGACAGGACAATGGAGAAAACTGAAAAGCCAAAGATGACAAGATACAGAAGAATGTTATAATAACTTACAACAAAACAAAAAAAAAAAAAAGGAAACAAAAATTTGTTTACGTGTCTATAAGCCCTGTTTATGTATGTGTATGTGTGCGTGTGTTTGCGTTTGCATGTGTACATATATACAATAGTGAACGAAAGGTGTCGATAAAAGTTAAAATTATCACACATTCAGATCAGGCAAATTCTATTGGATCCCTTTATAAAGTGTATTGAATTAAACCAGCTTCACATTGTTAAAACAAGAGAAAAAAATGAATAGAAAATAAAAACAAACTAACACTTATGGGTGCACATGTAGGTAGATGATTCTGTTGCGGGATTAATAATCAAAATGATAATCGGATATATGCGTTTTGCTGTGACCTCCGTTTACCGGAAATTCGATTTCGATATCGATTCCGTAGAAAAAAACCGGCGGAATTATGAGATACGAGGGATTTGGGGGGAGGATGAAAATGAATTCTATTGCCATCATTGTACGTTACTAGCAACAGCAATTGAATGGAAACATACGCATATAGATAGAAATAAAGATATAAACAGTAACAACAGAAACCCAACAACAACAACAACAATAATAAGTTAGTTGACTAACGTTGCTATGGAATATTTTTATCAATATATGCGCAGACAAAGGCATAAGTAGGTTAGCGAAACGGTGTATAACGGTAGCTATGAATTTCCGTCTATCTGTGGATATTGTTTCCCGTAAAATTCTTGTTCAATTCGATACGAATGGAAAATAATTGCATTAAGTTATTAATGTTATAAGCAATAAATGTAAAAATGCCAAGCATGCAAATATGAAATCGGAGTTTGTCACATATAGGAAATATATGTTGGAAGTTGTGGTTTTTATATATATATAACTTGTTTTTCTAGTAATACGAATGCATTTCGCAAAGCCAAACAACGAGACTTTTTCTAATAACGAAAATGTCGAGCTGTGAACCAAATAAAGAGCATTCGCGAACGATGCAAAAGAAAATCTTTTTTGCACCGCACTTGGTGGGACCGGAGTAGTGTTGTCTGCTATTTGCTTTCAAAGACTGCTAAAACGCTTTATATTAACGGCTACCAACGGCAATGAATCGGTTTGAATTGTTTACCGACTGACTGAAAGCAATCTTTCAATGAAATTCTGAAAATAAAAAGAAAAAAATCACGTAAAAGAGACTTTTTCACGCAAGTCGGGCAAGCTTTTCTAAAAACCTAAATTTTTTTCCCTTTCCTTGCCAGCATTTTGTACTGATATCTGTTTTAAGTTTCACGCCAACATCATCAGCACTCGATCATCTGCAAAGTGTACCAGGGTATTTTTTTAAATTTCCAAGGAGAGTAGCTAAAAATCAGACGGAGCTAAATGGAGTTCTGAATTGTGAATTGAATTTCTGGTTCATAAGTCTCGAAGAATCAAAGTAGTATGAGAACGAGTATTGTTGTGAGATGAATTTGTGTGATGTGTACAGACTTTCTAATGGTGAGCCGATGATTTTTGATCATCAAAACCTTTAGTTTCTTGATAATCATCGGCAATAATCGGAAAACGGTCGGAATGTTCAAACTAGTTCTGGGCACTGCATTGTAACCAAAAGCTTTTTCCCATCTATTATAAGCCGAAATTCCACTTTTTAAGCCAAATTTGATTAAGTTTCTTTCCTTAGCCTGCCATGCACCGCGAGCCATGGCGTACCATTTAACACTGTACATCTCCTACAGTTATAAATACGTCTTTGTATGGGACTTCGCGATCAAAAAAGTAGTCGGATCCAAACAATAGCGTTCATTCTTGAGCACTCTCTATACTTCAGTGTATCAAATATCAATGCAAGTGTTTCAAAAGTTGCCACCTGCAGGCTAAATACAAGGAAGTAAGGCAGACAGACGGACAGACAAGCTTAAACTGATTCATAAAATGGTTTTGATTCCACTGGTTTGATAAGAGATGGATGCATCTCAAGTCTATTAAGCTGTGTAAGGCATAAAAATAGCGCTTAGTTATATAATTTTCATTGAATTCCTTTAAAAAAGCTTCAAGGCGACTTTGCTTTGTGCCACAAAGCCCCAATATTTATAATAAATAGTGTGGTAGTTTAAAATAGAGACGCAAAAATAATTTGTTTACAAAGAAGACACTTTCTAATCTACACGACTTGAATTGAGGTAGCAATGTAAAATTTAAAAATGAGAACAACTTGACCTAAAAATGGTTTAGAGCCCATCAATGAGTACAAATATCCGTGGACTAGCTGATTTCCTAACAAAAATAAGAAGGCGGATTTTAATATTGAGCCACTCTTCCAGAGAAAACCTTGAAATCATTATCGTTAGACCTGAAAGACCCTCCGCTCCATTTGAATCTTTGACGAGATTTCCGGTGAGTCTGGTTTAAGTGCGTTACAAACATTTCATCAGTCGGAGAAAATCCTTGTAATCGGTATATTGCAATGATTTTGTAGTATACTTTTACATGTTACGTCATACTATAAATTTTATTGCATATTTTTAAAGGCAATGTACTTCGTTTTCATTCTTATTTTCCTGTATACCAGATATGTTCAAAGTAATTCGTTTAATTAAATTTTCGATTTAATGAATTTGTTCTCCAAAATTTTATTTTATAGTGAAACGATTTTAATGCAAATTAAAAGGAGAGAGAGAAAAAGAGAGATAGAGAGAGAGAGAGAGAGAGAGAGAGAGAGAGAGCAACTACAGTGTAGCGTTCAATATATGGCAAATAAACTCTGTTTTCAATTTTTAAATATAAGTAAAATTATTGAAAAGATTAACTATTGAAGGTTGGTTTTTGGTTTTAAAGAGGCTGCAAAAAATATGTAGAACAAATGAATTGTATTTGTTTTTAATGATTTTATTACAATGATTCATTTATATTCCTTTTATTGTTTATATTACAAAATATTATTACGATAAAATCTATAAAATTGAATTAAATCGAAATTTCTATATTCCTGGGCATATGTCAGAAAGGTCACTTATATTTACATAAGTTCGTAAACATATTTTCGATGGGTGTTAAATAAATGTTTATGCATGCACATGTACAGGATTATATTGCTCAACTTGCAAAACTACATTTCCCTTTAAAATTGATTATTTTTCATGATAACTCGCTGATATGTAAGCAGATGGAAATTAAATTTTCAATAATTACAGCTTTTTTCCATTACAAGTTCGAAATAATTGAAAATAATCAATAAATAAATAATAAATAAATAAGAATGTTATAGCCGGGCAAGGCCGACCTTGAGATATTCTATGCCACTTCGCCTAATACTATCATTCACTCGTTTTCTTAATAACACTCCAAAAATTATATATCACAATCTTACGTACAACCCCATAATTTTTATCAAAGCCTCTATATTGGACGATACTTAAAACGTAAACTAACTTGGTCCAAATTTAGGAAACTTGACTTAAACCCAACACACATTAGATTAGATGTTGCTGCGATAGAAAAAAGCGCCTGTATATGACGTGGTCTAAAAACAAGATTTTACTAAGTACTAGTTTTCATCATAACATAATAAAAATTGGACCGTTCTGTCATATAAAGGCTTAATTTTCATTAATCTCTTATAAGAGTTGAGATAAAAAAAAATACCCACGTGATCTAAATTTGCTAAGGATAATTTTTATATCAGTTTATCAGTATTATGAACGAATTTCCTTCAAGCAGTATTGAAAAATAAAGCTTCTTACTATATAAAGACGCAGTTTCAGGCAAGATGCGATTAGCAGGCAAGAGGTTGAAGAAATAGCCTTATCCCATCCAAACTTTTCACACCAACTTAGAACCTCGAAATATTATTACTAAGCGATTTTTGCTGTAATCTGTAATTCAAAAAAGTGGTCCGATCGGAAGCATTTTCAGCAGCATTCGTGCTTGGGCCAAAGCACTTCAGTGTACCAAATTTCACCAAATTATTTCAAAAATTGCAGATTGTAGGGTGAACACAAGGAATCAAGAGGGATAAAAAAATCTTAGATTCTTTCGGAAGATGATTCTGAGTCGATCGAGACAATCAAAGGTGAGTCTATCTCAAGTCCATCTGGGTGCCGCCTACATCCAAACGAACTTAATATACCCTTACGGTTAGAAGAAAAAAAGGAAAAATGTCAAATTAAACTTCAAATGAATCATTAAAGAAATGGTGTCATTGCCCAAGGCCCGCTTAATAGGATTTACATCTGGGGTGTTCACTGCTTCCTTTAATGCTGTAAAGAGGTTAATTTACTGACAAGTTTTCTTTTTACTGTTTCCTGGAAGGCAACAGAAGACACGGAAAGGTTAAATCGCCACAAACTTGTTTCAGAATTACGATTCCAATATTTATATGTAAGTTATGAACTTTCATTTCTTATGAATGCAATTATGTTGGCAATGGTTCTAAGAATGCATGAACGGGCCTGACTCAAGTAGTCTTTTGAAATTTCTTTCATCCTATTGAAACGTTAAACAATTTCTTTATTAAAAGCTCGCATTAAATTGATTTTTAATTGCTTTTCATTGTCTGGCAGAGTTCAATTTCTAAACAACCTAAAAAAAATATATTAAAAGTCGCGAATGGGGTTTTTTTGCTGCCGTCTTCTTCGTCCGTTTCACATTTCTGTTGCTTTTTACATAATGAAGTCCTTTTTTAAATAGTTTTTTGACAAACTTCTCTTGGCAAACTTGAGTTTGCTTGCCTAAAAGTGCGCAAGAGTTCATTTAACTTTGATGCAGCGACGACATGCAAACGTCAATCTTCATGCAAGCTTACATCTGAAATAATAATGAAAATATTGCAAAGTTAGTGGTACTACGACTCATAACATTTGCAAACATTTGTATATGTTTAGAGAGCTTATAATAATTACTTTATAAATAATCTTCATATAAGAAGAATGCACACTGAACAGAAGAGAGAGCATTTGAGTTTTAAATAAATAGCATACTTTTAGGTAAACAGTGTAAGCTAATTACGTTAAGCAAGAAGTAATCCTCTCGATCTTTGTTATCAAAGAATATTTATAAAACTTTAATGCATAATATGAACCATTGAGGCCCCGGAATGTATTCATCAAAATATTTAAACTTTGCCTCTTTATTCATGAAATTTAGCTACAAATTAATAAAGACATGTAGACGACTTGGAACGGTAGAGATGTCCATATGGAACAGAAGATACACATTTAGCTTCTCAGTGGGATATAATTTACTTTGGTCCTAGCTATAGCGAGCGGTCATTCGGTAAAGGCACAATGCTTATCGATTGAGTTCACATCCACTAGGCGGCGGCCACCACTTTTCTAATAGGTGTGAATGGTGCGTATCGATCTATTTCTAAATTTTTACATTAGGGTAGATCAAGATAGATCCAGTTTTCATGCTAATTGAAGCACGCTGCAAAGAAAAGCTTTTTGTAGTTCAAGCAAGGAAGAAAAGGCTACCTGCGAATGCTCTTTATTTGCCACAGAACTGGACATTTTCATTGCCAGAAGAATTATTTTATAGTTTTTGATACTTTGTCGTTGCCCAAGCTATAAAAAACCCGCAACTTTAGATCAAATGATGCACTATAACAAAATTTAAAACAATTTTTGGATAGCCAATAATGAAAGGGAGTTTAGACTTGATTAAAAATGTACACATAAATGGTGGACGGAAAAAAACGTATTGGGGCTTAAAATGAAAGGGGCTTAAATTCGAAGAAAATCTTTCTTAGAACATTTCATAGAGTTGACTATACACCTGACCATAAAAAATAAATGTTGCTAGAAGCAGTCACAGATGGACAATAACTTTAGGTCTGAAGCCTGTATACTCTAAACTTTTAAAACTCTGCGATCCTAGTCTAATTCTAGTTATCCCGTGGTTTAAAGGTTTACCCACTAATGATAATTCAGTACATCTAGAGCGTTTACCGGAGCCATCTAATGATGGCTGAGGCCTGCATACTCTCTCGGCATTCTCTAATCTTATACTTATGTCGCCAGCAAAAAAGAGTAGCATTTTAAAACTCTGCGGTCCTGATCTAACCCCAGAGAAAGTTATCCCGTGGTTTAAAGATTTACCCACTAATGATAATTCAGTACTTGTACAGCGCTTACCGGAGCCATCTAATGGCGAAAGCTAAGTAGGGGAAGATTAAAATACTGGTTTTTCAATTAATTAATTTTTACTTTTGTTATAAGTATAATTATAATCATAATAAGAGAAATAAATTCTAAAAATTAAGGTCTTAGTAAGGCTATCGGGTTTATTGAAAACTCTACCTATAACTTTGAGATTTGAACCCGCGACCATTCAGGATCCTTGGCTTACTAGGGCACCCAGCCGGGTTTTCTAATAAAGAAATGTAATTGATACGTGATCAAAATGTTCATTATATTACTGCATACGGTAAGAGAAATTTATAAAGTACATCTGATAGTTCCCTACGGAATCGGACCGAAATAGTGAAATTTCATAGGACATTTTATGACAAAATAGTAATTAAAATCTCGTCACCTTTTAAAACTTGAAAACGTGCTTAGAGAGTTTTTCCTGTCAATCGACGAGATAAGGTTGCGTGAAAAAGGCCGTAGCCATAGATTATATGAATTTTTTCTTAAGCTTGGGTTACCTTAATTTTTTGAGTGCCAAAAACTAAAACGGAGCGATAATAAGAAATGGAAAATGTAGCTTTGTGGTGTTTCTATTCAGCTGGTTGGCAGAATCGGCTAAACCGGTTAAAGCGAAAGCTAACTTTGAGCTACATGATTACTCAACAGGTTAAGCTGGGTCAGCCGAATAGGAAGGTGGAGTGATAAAATGTGAATTTGTGGTGAAAAATTCTCAAAGAAGCAAAGCAGTGTGCGAAAGGGATGCCAGCGGCAGAAGTTGTTTACACTTAACGACTCATAATGTTCGGAAAACATTTCTTTGTAACGGAAAGAATTCATTACGCATAGCATCCAAGTAATTGAACAACAATTTTAATTTTAAACTTTCTGACTTTATTACCACATCTTGATTAAACTAACGCCAATGCACAAAAGTTTAGGACGGAACCAATTTTTCGGTAATTTTTTCAAACTTCTTTTTTTCTTTCTTCTGTTGCTTTAAAAAATTGATTAAGAAAATTTTTCACTTAAGAAATTTTCCGCTTTGTTTAAACGTGCGATCCAACGATAAGCATACAATTTTCTTTTAGCAAAGCGAACACACTGCGTGTTCACCTTATTCTGCTTTATGCGCTAGGCGTGGCGACTATGACGCCATCATTACGTTTAGTATTTAACTTTCCGAAAGCTATGCAGATATTCTATGTAACATTGATCTTTTTCGTGACATGATGACAGTTTGCATAGAAAAGAAAGCTAAGTTAGTTTTATATCATGCAGCTTTCATATACTTCCACTATTTGACGATAGAAAAGCTTCATTTGTTATCATCTTCATGCTGTAAAGTGGCAACTTGGTATGAAAAGCTTTCATCATTATTTGCTCTTTGACGTTTCACAAAAGATTCTCTTCACAAACCTACGATCAGTTGTTTGTTTATACTTCGGGCGGTCAGGTAAAGATTTCAGGTGGTGCGTTTAATGTTATTATCAAATAAAATATTAAAAAAAAAAAAAAATGCTGTAATAAAATTTAAAAAAAAAAAAAAAATACTACATATATATATATATATATATATATATATATATATACTGCATGTTGTTGTTGTAACTGTTTTAAATAATGAGATAATTAATATTATTATTGCTAATTCATCCTTTAAGAATATTTGTTGCTAAACAAAAAATTATTTTATTTTTTAATTAATTTAAGATAGATTAAGGTCTCGTACATTGCAACATGTCCAGCAAACCAGTTTTATATTATACACCACGCAGTCCACCTTGTCGTGCTGTTTTATTAACGGCAGCTGCCTTAGGTGTTGAATTGGATTTAAGGTTAGTAGTAGACACAATCGTCGTTAATTTCTTTTATTCGAATAATATAACTAATAATTAATATATTTATTATGATGAAATGCAGAGCTATGAATATAAAAGATGGTGATCATTTAACACCGGAATTTTTAAAATTGAATCCCTTGCATACGGTACCTGTTTTAGATGATAACGGTCTAATTATCAGTGATTCTCATGTGATTTGTTCATATCTGGCTGATAAATATGCTGTCGATGAGACTCTTTATCCTAAAGATAAATTGGAACGAATGGAAGTCGATGCACGCATGTATTTCGATTGCGGTCATCTATTTCCACGAGTTCGTTTAATGGTCGAACCAGTTCTCTACTTTGGTTGCGGAGAAATATCTGAAGAAAAGGTTACCTATATGCAAAAAGCCTACGATGGCCTTGAAAGATGTTTAATCACAAGCAAATATTTATGCGGTGATCATATGACTATCGCAGATTTGTGCTGCGTCGCATCAGTTTCAACGGCTGTTCTATTCGCACCAATTGATGAGCAAAAATTCCCGAAATTAAAATCCTGGTTAGAGGTAATGTCTCAATTGCCATACTATAAAAAAAATAATCAGCAAGGGGCTGAAATTTTATTGAAATTCGTGCAAGATAAGCTGGCTGAGCACAACAAGCAGAAAGCGAAAAAAAGTGCTTGAAAAAAAAAAATTGGAAAAGAATAATAAATAATAGGGCAAAGTGAAATATTAACATTTTACTTAATAATAAACACGAGAATACAAGGTTAATTCAAATGCTAGCGCAAGTTTTAAGCTTTTTTCTTTTTTGGTAGAAAATTAAAATCAGAGAATTGAACTGTGCCGTGTTGCTCTCTGCGCAATGATCATCATGGAATAATGAATTAATGAAGTAGTAAAAAAAGCTTTGAAATTCCGTTATCAGTAGAGTTGCCGTAGTCCGAATATATTTTCACTGTAAAACTAAAAGCCTGAAAGAAAGCTTTCGAAATTATTTTGTCTAACTGTACTTGACGACTGACTATCACGTTTTATGCAAAACTCATAGACATGCAATGAAATCTTAAGAATAAAATAAAATTTTTCCATTTTCCATAACACACACACACACACACAGCAAGTACATGTCGCAATCATTAATGGACGCAGTTTTGGTGGCATTTCACTTTTGCAAATTGAACCACCGAGGGCAACTTATTCGACAGCAATTTCCAGCAACTGATAACGAATGTTGCGTTGATGGTGTTTGGCCATCAACAACCAATGCACTATGGTCCCAGATACCATTTTTCTTCGCCAAAAATCAAATTTTTCACATTCTCTGATTCGTCTTTCATTATTGTAACCTGAAAGCAAATACTCCAAAGCAACCAACCAACCAAACAAATGTTCGATGTTTTTCAGTGTTTACTTCCTTTATTCGAATTTAGCAGGAAAGAACATGTGTCAAAAAAAGAAATTGAAATGGAAAAAAGAAGTGATGGTAAGTACGTCCTTTTTATAATACAAAATATCATTGTTAAATTTTATTACTACAAAGTTTGAGATCACTTTCAACAGAATTCTTTTGAATTTTTGCAATTTATTATTTATTTCACAAGTTTACCTAAGCTTTTGCAATTTTGTTTAACATTGTACTTGAAGGGTGTAGTTATTAAATATGCTTTCCTTTCGAATTTGCGGTCTTTTGCGGTTTGTGAGAAAACTTTTTTTTATGATAAATTGAATTTTTAAATAATAAACAATTAATGACTAGTGAAATTTTTTTTTTTAATTTTTTGTTCAATTCTTTTCTTAAATAAAGAAAGAACTTTTTTTTCGATAAAATATTAATAGCAAAAGAAATTTTTTTAAAATTCTTTTTTAGTTTTCGATAAAAACATCTGAAGTGTATTAAGAGTTCAAATTTTATTCAAAAAACATTACTATTTTAACTCTTAATACGTTTGGCCATTGCGACGTTTTGGCCCTTTGGGATCATGCAATGTTAATATCCACGCTCGAAGGCAATAT